GATTTCGACCGCCCAGTACTCAGTTTTTAACGAATATTACAGGATTGCAAGAACCCAGTCTCTGGAAAGTCATTTTACGCCATGGAGGGAAAGCCACTTTGCCCCAAGTGCGTAGGCGTTGATGAGGAGGAAGAGGAGGAAGAGGAAGCGTGAGAGGAAAGCGAAATAAATAAACAACAAATGAGGGGAGAGCGAGCGGGAGAAAGATATATACACATAGAGAGAGAGAGAGAGAGAGAGAGAGAGAGAGCGTGCGTGCGTGAAGAAAAAGTGCAAGAGTGCGCGCGAGCATGGAAGAAAGAGAGAGAGCGAGAGAGAGAGCGAGAGAGAGAGAGAGAGAGACGGACAGAGAAGCGAGCGAGCTGATTATAATTGTCATTTACTTCACAACTAAATAGTAGACAAGACCCATTTTTCTAGGAGGAGAAGGAGGAAATTTGTGAACTAGAGAGATAATTAGAATCTATCCGACTAGAATCAACCCCTACATGCCCTCCGGGCTCCAACTGATGCGGAGCCCCTGCCCCCAACCCTTATTTTGTCTATGCCAACAAGTGCCCCTACACAAGCAGAATAGGCCAGAGTTCACCGACTCGGACCCAGGGAGGAAAAAGTATCGATGGCGGCCTACGCTCCACGAGGTTCTACCCCATCCCACCCCCGCACATCCAACTCTGCCCTTAATTCATGAATCGAAAGGCACTCACTTACCCTCCTCTATTCACTCGCGTACTGTTTCCCACAACCCCACAACCCCGCCCCCACCCCCATCTACACTCCACACTTTCCAGACCCACACACTCCGACAATATCACCTATCGTCGTCTCCTCAACCAGTCCAGTCAGCCAGCCACCCATTCCCCGGGCCCTCCCACCACCCCCGGCCTAGAACAAGCAGCTCGCTTTCTCATTATGCCTATCGTCGAGCGAATGTGCGAGCGAATCGGATGATCGTGGTCGCAGAGGAGGAAGGACGGTCCAGCCAGAAGTCGCTGCAGCAGATTCCCAGCGAGATCGAAGCGCCGAGATCGTTCGTTGTCAAACTCGAGCGACATAAAAAACTGTCTTGTACGAAAAACCTTTCTTTTTTCTTTCAACTTTTGTTCTGAATATTTTTTTTCTTTTTTCTTCTATTTCTTCTTCTTCTTCTTCTTCTTCTTCTTCTTCTTCTTCTTCTTTTTGGAGAATAAAACACATGTATTTCAATAAAAACAGGGGAAAAAACAAATAAAAAATAAAAACACAAAAAAAAACACCAAAAAAAAAAACAAAAACAAAAACAAAAACAAAAAAATAAAAACGGAAAAAGTACAAGTTGACAGGCGATAGGAGTGCGCACGACGGAACCACGAGGCGTGGTCCGTCCGAGGGGATCGGACGGCGACATCGGTCCCAGTCCGGATCCCCGGGAAATGGGCCCCCCCAACCGTGCCGTGCGCACTCTCATTTCGGCATCGAAGCGCCGGCTGCACCTCGCGTCCGACGTCGATCCCCGCTGCCACGCTAAATTTACCCGTTAACGCACGCATCCGCACCGCGTGCTGCTGCACCGTCTGCTCCATTAGACGCGCGCTCTCTCGCCCCCCTCTTCGCGCACCACCCCCCCCCCACATGCCATGGGGTAGGGGGACGAGGTGTGGTAAATAGTGGTAAGTCGGGCTCGCTCTCGTTTTCATTACTCGGCCAGTAGGCGCTGGCGGGCTCCTCTTATCGCCTTCTCGCTTGTTTTCCTTTTCATTTTTCTTTTCCGGTCGTGCGGCCTTGGATATTGCGAAACAAAATAGCCTATTCTTTGGCCGACTAGGGATTGCCGGATGGATGACGCACAAGACGCTCTTATCATTAGGAGCGCGTCGAAGGGCTCGTTCCGGACGGGAGGTGGTACGTCGCGTGATGTCGTCTCGACGGCACCGAGGCACGACCTTACCGGAGATGGTTCGATCATGATTTTTCCGCCGTTCCTACACAATATTATGTGCAATCTACCGATCGTCACAAATAATCGCCACAAAGATGGGAGAGAGAGAGAGAGAGAGAGAGAGAGAGAGAGAGAGAGAGAGATACACCACTCACTTTCCCAGATTTTAAGGCATTAAAATTTCTTTGCGGTTAATCGCCGGATTAACGATCGCTTAGTCATGAAGCTCAGTGAGCGGTGTGATTATTAGGTCGTAAAGATTTTTCAGGTTTCTTTGGCCACAATTCGCACAATTAGGAATTCTGACGCAAGGAGGAAAATAATTTTAACGATTTCATTTCGTTCTTTTTGGCAATAATTAAAAATGGCTTTGCGCGATAATTTCATTATAAAATTGATGGGACGATGTTGCGTCAGGTATTAATTAAATATTGATGCAACTAAAATTGCAGCGATAACGATGACAGTTTAATAATAACGGGGATTCATAAAAGTATAAATACTTTTCTGCGCGTGGATAAGTCAATGTTATAAATGCCTTGATTTCTCTGTACGAAGCCGTAAGGAGGAATTTTTTACACTAATTGTCCTAATACTTGTCGTTTAGAAATAATTATCGAGTGATATCGAGATAAGCGTTATTCCAGTAATTTCGATGACTTTGACGAATTGAAATGAAAAAACTTTGACGCATTCAAACGCAAAATAAAATTTCATTGTATAACTTTTATATTTTTTGTATCTTAGACGGTTTTGTTTATATTATTTTATATGGCCTTTTTAACGTGGCAAATGGAATTAATCTTCAAGACAAGGGAAATTTTGTACTATTTTTGTATTAAATGTCGTTTATAATTTTCAAACTCGTATACTAATGCAATCGTTAAAGAACAAAATACACTTTATACGATAATATGTAGTCACTCGGTTTCAATGCAAAGAAGCGATGCAATTTTTCTCAAACTTTCTAATGAATTTCAGCGTAGCCTAGTATACGAAATAGTTAGTATTTTTTTTGAAAAAGACGGATTAGCATTTATTTTTAATGTTTCTGTTATGACAGCTTTCCGTTTATAATATGCCGTTTATAAAGAGTGAAAAATATTAATCTGACAAACATTTTGAACACCGAAATACCGTGGGGAATAACATTTGATGCAACGCTTATAAATATCGAAGAAATATCGGTTACTCGATCCCGGGATTTGCCGACTTTTTACAATTAGATTAAAATGGAGCCATCGGTTTTATTAAGAAAAAATTATAGAGATAAATAAGAGAAAATAAGAGCGACGATGTGTTTATCGTAATTTTCAGCATTTGACAATGAATTTAAGAGAAAAATGTGGAGAGGCAATGGGACGCACAAATATATCTTTTTATTAAACGTCCCCACGTGTACGTATGAATTTATATTTTTCCAACGTCGATACGCATTATCGTATAAAATTATCCTGCCAATATTATTGCTCCTTACTTATGTTTACGTAACGTCAAGCGTTAACATTAATTAATTAATTGCTTCTTAATAATTCAATTGCAGGATTGCCGGCAAAAGTTTCAAGGTGGTTCCTTTTTCGATCACGAGGGTCTGCCATATTGCGAGACGCACTATCACGCCAAAAGAGGATCGCTTTGTGCCGGATGCCATAAGCCTATTACAGGTAAATTTTTTTTTGTTTTTTTTTTGTTTTTTTTTTTCCCCTCCTTTTTTCATCTCGTTATTATTGATAATGAAGAAGACGAGGAGACAAACCGATGATCGTCACATTTACTGCGGTCGTTTTATTATTGGTTTTTTTTTCTCGATGTTCGATAAGAACAAGGAGGTCAACAACGTTTCAACATTTTCCTGGATTTTTCAATCGATTATGTAAAGGTAATCGCGCCATCTTACGTTTGTCTACGTTTTGTGGCTCTCGAGAGCTTTCCAATATTAATTGCTTATCGCAGTATAGTCGTCTATGATATAATGAGGCCAATATAATTCTAATAATAAAAGACGTAAAAAGTGGCAAGAGCGAAGGTGCCAGGTTTGTTTTCAATTTTATATTAAATTTATTATAAAGCTCTTGTAAGTAAAACATTGAACGCACAAAAAGAAGAAGAAGAAGAAGAAGAAGAAGAAGAAGAAGAAGAAGAAGAAGAAGAAGAAGATGATGATGAAGAAGAAGAAAAATTCATTTAATTTGATGTTTCCACAAAAATGCCAAGATTATTCGTAATTGCTTTTCTCTTTTAATAAACATTTCAAGATATGTTTAATGTATTCGTTCGTTCGTTTTTTTTTGTTTTTCTTGTTTTTCGTTTTTTGTTTTTTGTTTTTTGCTTTTTGTTTTTTTAACCTTTCAAATTAATTTACTCGAAATGTAGTTATTTTCATTACAAAACTTATAAATGTGTAATATTAAAATGTCATTAGTTTCAAATGCCGATTAGTCTGCCGATTTGACGATAAAATAGAGCACTTCGTAATTACATTCTTAAAACTCTTTCAAAATGCATTTTCAATTTGAAAGGGCTGACCTTAATTAACCTTAATTAACCTTCGGCTATCTTTTATATAAATATAATGATTCGTTATGTACTCTAATTTCTGGGAGCTGTAGGCTCTATTGCAACCAAAAAACATGTTTAAGTAAAGATGTTATATTTGTATGTATATATATATATATATATATATACATATTATTTAAATATTCTTGACGGCCAATGACATTCGCACAAAAGGCAGATTAGTAAGCAGGCGATGCACGTGTCGAAGAAAATGTTGAAAAGACAATGATGCAATAATACATTTGAATGTTTGACAGTCGTAATAAATTATAGATATCGAATTAGAAGATAAAAAACGTAAGATCGTTAAATATCAGTCGATATTAGTGTCGATCTGCGTCCATCCACGTTTAATTTCATTATCTCCCGGTAGCGTGAATAACTAAATTATCTATTAGAATACAAAACAAAATTAAGCAACTACTGACTGTGGCTGCTCTAAGGATTATTTGTATACGTAGGCTGCATGTAATAAAAATTTTGACGTAAAGCAGCAATGAGTTTGTGAATGGTTAATCGCTCGATCACCATATTAGGCATGGCGATCTGGAAGTAAAAGACTTACTAAAAGACTTTGGTAACTTGAGAATTAAAATTTTTTTAATAAGTTATGGGAAGCCGGAGGAGGGTAATATACGTGGAATGATCTCACAGGATTTGTCTCTTATATTAATGGGACTGGCTATCGTTTATTATTCGAAATAAATTATAAACAAATAAATAGAATGTAAAAATAATTGAAAGGCCGACTGGTATGTTTTTGGTTCGAAAAGAATTTTTTTTTTTATCTTTTTTAAATAACTTGATTTAAACAGAAAATACGTGCGATTGGGTTACTTTTTCTATTTTGTAAATAGAACAAATGTACCAATGATGAAGCATCGCGTACAAATTCTCGATAAATTTCCAATCATCAATGATGTAAGCGTCGGCCGGAAATTCTTATCATTTCAAATGTCTATGTGAAAATATACTTTTTAAACTGATTTTAAAGTTTGTGTTTGAGCCTATGAATAAGCGATTCGAACTTCAACAAAAGTCGGATAAATGTCGAGACATTATTGACTGTGGGACAGGGCAATGTGTATAGCCTGAATATACTCGCGTTCGACAATATTTATGGCAGTAATACGTGTTTCATTTACAAAATAGCTATTTAAAGGAGAAAAATTACTATTTATCTTATTGTCGAATATTATCACTATAATTTTGCACGTGTTGAAGTAAATATATAAAAACGTCTTGGCTGGTATAATCTGGTAATATCGATAATATCATTGTTATTACGTTCGTTCCAAGTATTTCAAATCTATCTTATCATAAAAAATATAAATTTTTTGTTATTTTTTATTCATTTATTTATTTATTTATTTATTTATTTTTTTTTTTATTTTTTATTTATTTTATTATTTTTTTTTATGTAAAATATATATATCTAGACTGACGTATACTCCATTGATATAAAATTAATTTAAATTAGAATATTTCGCTTAGTTTATGTTATTTTTGAAATATTTAAGTGATCTTAAGACAATATTTTGCCCTTAAATAGTAAAAATGTCATCAAATTGAAGCGTTCCATGCATTTGCATTAACAAATATGTTTCGTTAAGCAATTGTTTTTAAACATTTTAATTAGTCATTTATATTTTTATTATTGGCTTCAAATCGTCCATATATTTCTTTTCGTAGCTTGCAGTTTTCCTTGATAGGTACATTTTACGCGTGCGAGCGTCCTGTGCTATACCTTTTAAAGTTATCACACGCTGCTTTTATCAATCGCTAATATATTATAAGTTTCTTCAACATTACCATACTGTTCGAGCGAGGAGAAGGTGTACGTAGACCTATACATGTTCATAGCATGAACTCTTCTATAGCGCATGTATGCGCTCGTGCCATGTACGTGTTTATTTCGTTGTATTATATAATTCCGCAAAGCTATAAACTAAATACTAGGAATGAGGAAAATTTAGTAGTAATGCAAAGAAACTGCAACTAAATAAACAAATAATAGGTAGCAGGAATTCAAAGTACTCGATATAATATTAAATGTTAACGACTCTCAATATAATAACAAAATGATGCATTTTGAGGTACGAATATATATAGATGCATCGAGTTCATCATTGGTAATGTGAATTTATATTATAGATGCTATAACGATATTATTTGTCGGCAGATATAGTCTCTGTATATATTATATTACGGGATATATTAATTGCGTGGTTATAACAATAAATCGTACGTATTAAGAATCGTTGCGGTAAATTAAGAGAGAGAGAGAGAGAGAGAGAGAGAGAGAGAGAGAGAGAGAGAGAATGAGAGAGAGAGAGATGGTATATCGTTGGATTAAGAAGGCGGTAAGAACATAGACGAGAACCGTGACATATTTTTTTTCTCAGTGCACAGCATTCGCAATGAAATGAAAAAAAAATGTAAGAAAAAACAAAAAAACCTTCGATCCACTTGGCATTTGTAAGAAGTACACATATGCGGACGAGTGAAGAAGAAGTGCAAGGGAAAGCTCGGCTCGATCACACTTTACAACAGCTGCGCATGAAAGCCCATGAAAAGCGGAAGCTTCTAATCCGATTAACGTCGACTTATCTGTTTGACAGGTCGCTGCATAACCGCCATGTTCCGCAAATTCCACCCCGAGCACTTCGTCTGCGCGTTCTGCCTGAAACAGCTGAACAAGGGCACGTTCAAGGAGCAGAACGATAAGCCCTACTGCCACGGCTGCTTCGAGAAGCTCTTCGGCTGAGGGCCAGCATAACCCCGGCGCACCCACCAGGAAGATCCTCGAGAGCGTGAAGCGGCGACGGCCGATGGCGTAGGTGTCGCGTAGGCGAGAGAGTAGGGCGCGTGATGCGTCGCTCGGGCCATCGATTTGCTATATTAATATATAACGCCGCGATTATTCTATTTCCTAAGGATAATGATTCTAGAGTCTTAGATGTAGCCCGAGATCGAGGTCAAGGCGCACCGAGTCGCCCCCTTGGCTCGAATTAACATTTTAGCGGGCGTAAGGTTCAAGTATTGTTAAAGCGTGCGTCGCGGGCAAGAGAAATTTTGCATTACACCCGGGGATAAGCGAATAAATGTGTGTGTGTGTGTGTGTGTGTGTGTGTGTGTGTGTGTATGTGTGTGTGTGTGTAGGAGGGGTATGTGTGTGTAAAGCTTGCAGCTGACCCTCACTCTTTTCCGTACCCTTGCGACGAGCCAAATGCATTGCATATTGTATATTAGAAAGTAATATAGTGACTCGTCGTCGTATGCCAATTAAAGAAATTTTGATACATGTGTAAGCCCGATAGGGAATAAACGGAGATCCCTGGCACTACGACGAAATCTTGTCGTACGCGTTTCTACATAAATATCTGCAATACTTCCAATTTCCCAATTTGCTTCTTCTATCTCTCTTATCTTATATTTCAACGTCTATTGGTATTTACAGATTTTTACGATGCATTAATACGCTCGTTCGACACTCGGCTCGCTCGATGGTCACGAGGACCTTTGCGTCGCGCTAACGTCGAATCGTGCGTGTGCGCGCGTCGCGAATAGACCGGCACAATGTTGGCTTCTTTCTAGTTTGTCATGATTATCAGGGAGACTGGAAGCGCTGCCTCGTTAACCGCAAACACTCCTATTTAAAACGTAACATTGATTTTTTTTTTTTTTTTTTTTTTTTTTTTTTTTTTTTTTTTCATGATCCGTCATTTCTGTTACTTTTGCTTGCCGTTTCGGAGCCGTAACATTAGTAACATTTAAAGCGCCCATCCGCCCTCCTCTTTGTGACACATTTCTTGTTGGATTTTAAAAATGTTCAATATTATTTCATTCCATTATATATATATATATATCATGTCGAATGAACTTGAAATGTATCGAAAAGTAATATGCTATGGTCGTCGTTGTAATTGGGCTTTTAAAATTAATGTTTCAGTTACGTTTTAAACGCCTCGGCCTCCATAATGCAATAACAAAAGGTGCTAACCAAAGTCTATTTTCAACTAACATTGGTTTATCATTGTATAGATAATATTACCGCCAAGGTCATGCATGCTTAAGCGATCGTTTTTTTTTTTATAATTCTTCTTTTATATATGATACTTCATTTGCCTTTTTTTTCTGTCATTTATAGTAAACGTATCGAAGAATTACAATTTTTACGTAGTTTTATGTAGGATATGAATGTACAGTTAAATTTACAGGCGCATTACGACTTAAATCCTGTATTAATGAGTAAGAACAGTTATAAAAAATTTAAAAGCCTTTTATGATAATCCTTGTAAACAATAAAAGCGTTTTAACTTTTATTCAATATAGTGTTTAATAATTTAATAATCTTCCATAAACTTGCGTGTAGTAAACACATGGCCATACTTTGGATATTCACGTTCTCATTGATTATGTCATCGCTAATGAAAAACAATGGATATTTAGATTAAATTTTAAATTATAAAGCCTTATTATGATAGTTTTATGGATTTGTTGAAAATACGATCAGGCGTGACTGACTGAATAGGAGAGAAATAAATTTTACCCAATTTTCCGTATGAAATTGATTTTTTAATTTTATTTTACACATCATTTATTTATGTATACATAAGCACATGCATACATACGCACCCACGCACACATACACACATACATAATGACTCTCGCACACAAATATACGCGCGCACGTGTGAACATATGATATATATATATATATATATATATATATATATATATATATATATATA